TGCCTTCTTTTGCCTCCGAATTGCCGCAGAAAGCCAATGTATCTTCGCTTTCCAATGGGAAAATGCTGTAACGGGCTCGAAACGCCAAATGACCTGGACAAGATTGCCCCAGGGGTTTAAAAATTCACCTACCCTATTTGGTTCAGCTCTAAGTCAAGATCTACTAGATTTCGAGTCTATCCCAGGAGAGTGTGTATTATTACAATATGTAGATGACTTGTTGATAGCAGCAGTTACAAAGGAAGTATGTCAGCAAGCAACGCACGATCTACTACACATTCTCTGGAAGGCAGGATACAAGGTGTCAAGAAGGAAGGCTCAGTTGTGTTTGCCAACTGTCAAATATCTGGGATTCCATATCTCTGAAGGTCAAAGAATTATGGGGCCAGAGAGAAAAGAAGCTGTGTGCCAAATACCGATACCCAGGAATAGAAGACAAGTGCGAGAATTCTTGGGGGCAGCAGGCTTCTGTAGGATATGGATTCCCAGCTACGCGATACTGGCAAAACCTCTGTATGCAGCTATCAAAGGTACAGAGCACGACCCCTTCTTATGGACTCAAGAACAGCAAACGGCATTCGAAGATGTGAAGAGGGCTTTGATGAGTGCCCCAGCATTAGGTCTACCTGACCACACACGGCCATTCTACCTGTATGTACATGAGCAAAGAAGAATGGCTGTGGGAGTATTGACACAGTACTTGGGATCATGGCAAAGACCTGTTGCCTACATGTCTAAGCAACTGGATGCAGTGGCCAGCGGACTTCCACCTTGTCTAAGAGCTGTAGCTGCAGCCGCCCTGCTAGTAGCTGAAGCCGATAAACTCACTCTGGGTCAAGAACTTTATGTACGAGTTCCACATGCAGTACAGACGTTGTTGGATTACAAAGGAAATCATTGGTTTAGTAACAGCCGTATGACCAAGTATCAAGCAATGTTGTGTGAAAACCCAAGAGTGCATTTAGAGACTGTAAATACCTTAAATCCAGCTACCCTTTTGCCACAACCTACTGAAAGTCAACATGATTGTTTGGAAGTAATGGATGAAGTATTTTCAAGTAGACCAGATCTTCGTGATTTTCCCATCCAGAACCCTGATGTTCAATATTACACCGACGGCAGTAGTTATGTAAAAGAAGGGATCCGCTATGCAGGATATGCAGTAACAACGATAGACAAGGTGATAGAAGCTCGGCCACTGGCAAAAGGAACATCAGCACAAAAGGCAGAATTGATAGCACTGACACGAGCGTTACAATTGGCTGAAGGTTTAAGAGTGAACATCTACACGGACTCCAAGTATGCGTTTTTAACCACTCATGCCCACGGAGCTTTGTATAAAGAAAGAGGACTATTGAATTCAGAAGGCAAAGAAATCAAATACGCAGCTGAGATCCTACAACTATTGGAAGCAGTGTGGGAGCCGAAAGAAGTCGGTATTATACATTGTCGGGCGCATCTGAGAGGAGATGGTGATGTAACCAAAGGGAATCGGATGGCAGATAGTGCAGCTAAGCGTGCTGCTGAATCAGGAAGACAGGAATATGTGGGGCATATAGCTGCTCTTATACCAACTCCACTGTCTCAATGGACTCCAATTTATACAGCTCAAGAAGAGGAGTGGTTAAGGACTGAACCTGGAAAGTATTTGGAGAACAAATGGTATCAGTTAGAAGATGGAAGAATAGTTATTCCAGCATCACTAGCGGTAGAAATTGTCCAAAACTATCATAACGGGACACATTCTGGGAGAGACAGTACAGAAGAATCTCTCAGAAAACATTTCTACATACCAAGATTGTCCAACTTGACTCAGGCCATTGTACGTAGATGTGTAACGTGTGCTAAAAATAATGCAAGACAAGGACCAGTAAAGCCACCAGGAGTCCAGTTTATGGGGGGACTTCCCATGTCCGATTTACAAATTGACTATACAGTGATGCCTAAATCGGGTGGACATCGCTACCTGCTGGTAGTGGTGTGCACCTATTCAGGCTGGGTAGAAGCATGTCCTACTCGTACAGAGAAAGCAGGAGAAGTCGTGAGATTCCTGCTACGAGAAATAATACCCCGATATGGACTACCCTGCTCTATAGGATCGGACAATGGTCCAGCTTTTGTTCATCAGTGCCTACAACAATTGACTCATATGCTTGGTATAAAGTGGAGGCTTCATACGGCATATAGACCCCAGAGTTCTGGTAAGGTAGAGAGAATGAATAGAACTATTAAGAATCAGTTGGCTAAAATGTGTCAGGAAACCCAACTTAAGTGGAACGTTCTCTTGCCCATAGCTCTATTGCGAATCCGTAGTACACCTACCAGAAGGATGGGCCTCTCTCCTTTTGAAATCATGTACGGGCGACCACCTCCCGTGCTTGGTAACTTAAGGGGGGATTTGAGTCAGTTGGGAGAAGGAATTACCCGGCAGCAGGTTGTAGAGTTGGGTAAGACTATGGAGGAGGTACAGAAATGGGTACAAGATAGATTACCTGTGAATATTTATCCCCCAATTCATAGTTACCACCCAGGCGACCAAGTGTGGATTAAAGAGTGGAATAATGTGCCGTTAGGGCCCAAGTGGAGAGGTCCTTATGTTGTTCTTCTGTCTACCCCTACAGCGATAAAAGTAGCCGAAGTGGCTCCGTGGATACATCACTCCAGGGTTAAACCAGCAGCAGCCGATTCCTGGCAAGTTACAGCAAATCCAGAGAATCCCTGCAAGATCCGGTTAAAACGCACGACTCAGTCGGAGTGACGAGGAACCTTGTAGATTACAAATTTTATTGTTTCAGAGACTTGGTAAGTGAGTGAGAAGGCCATAATAAAGCCTGTCCACTCACCAACGAGTGTATAAGTCAGGGAAAGTCTTGAGGGGACCCCTGTGAAGACGAGCAGAACTCCATTCCCTGCAGTCCTTACATCCTGGAAGCTGAGGTGCCTTCACACGGACGAAGACTGAGGATGACGACGAAAGATGTATTTTTAATAATGTTTATTTATGTGTATTTTTATATTCAGGAAGGTAGAGGTACCAACACTCCTAGCTGTGAGGTATGCATTAAGACTACAAGAACAGGTAACCATATATCCCAGACCCTAATTTGGCATTCGCAATATGAGTGTAAAGGAGATGTATCAAGATGTAGATACTTAAATATAGAATATAGTGTGTGTCATTTAGGAGTAGGAGAACCTAAGTGCTTCAGTCCTGAGTATCAACCCCGTACAATTTGGTTGACTCTCAGAAATGGAGATTCTCAGGGGACCCTAATTAATAAGACGGTATTAAAATCCGTATATTCTTCAGGTGCTCTGCTATTTGATGCGTGTAAAGCAATATCAAGTGGTAGAAAGCCGTGGAATGTATGTGGGGATCTTAGATGGGAGAGGACGTATGGGTCTAACGATAAATATATTTGTCCCAGTAGTAAAAATAAATATGTAAGTCCAAGATGCCCAAATAGAGATTATAACTTCTGCCCATATTGGTCTTGTGTGGGGTGGGCGACTTGGGGACAGACAGCAGACAAGGACATGATTGTGACTAAGTTGCCTACTAATCCATATTGTAAGTCTATGGAATGCAATCCAATCCATATACTTATAAATAACCCTGACAAGTTCTTAGATAAATATGGTAATTTATTTGGGTTTCAAATATATGGGACGGGTTTAGACCCTGGGACAATATTGTTTATAGGGATAGAGACTGATACGGTAACCTCCCAAACTCATCAAGTATACCATTCCTTTTATGAAGAGATGAGCATAGATAATAAGATCCCCCATAATGCTAAAAACTTGTTCATTGATTTAGCCGAGAGTATTGCCGGTAGTCTTAATGTTACCAACTGCTATGTGTGTGGAGGTACTAACATGGGAGACCAATGGCCTTGGGAAGCAAAGGAGGTAATGTCCGGTTCTGAGGCAGTTGACCAATTAATATCTACACAAGCCGACTATCATATGAGTGTTAGAGGTAAATCTGAGTGGAGATTGAAGACCTCCATCATAGGTTATGTTTGCATAGCGAGGAAAGGAATGATGTATAATACTTCTGTAGGAGAATTAACTTGTCTAGGGCAAAAAGCTTATGATGATGATACAAAGAATACAACTTGGTGGTCGGCTTCAAATGTCTCAGAACCATCTAACCCGTTTGCAAGATATGCCAATTTAAAGGACGTATGGTTTGATCTATCCATCACATCTAACTGGAGAGCCCCAGCGAATTTGTACTGGATCTGTGGTAAGAAGGCCTATTCGGAGTTACCACAGGACTGGGAAGGGGCATGTGTGTTGGGTATGTTAAAACCATCCTTCTTCTTGTTGCCTATTGAAACAGGTGAGACTTTAGGTGTTAAAGTGTATGATGTGAATCATAGGAAGAAAAGGGGACCCATAGAGATAGGTGCCTGGGAAGATAATGAATGGCCTCCCCAGCGTATTATAGATTATTATGGGCCAGCCACGTGGGCAGAGGATGGTACCTTTGGTTATAGAACCCCTATTTATATGCTCAACCGCATTATAAGGTTACAGGCGGTGGTTGAGATCATTACTAACGAGACATCACAAGCGCTCAATCTTCTAGCGAAGCATAATACCAGGATGAGGACAGCAGTTTACCAAAATAGATTAGCCTTGGATTATCTTTTGGCAGTAGAGGGAGGTGTATGTGGGAAGTTTAACCTGAGCAATTGCTGTCTTCAAATAGATGACGAAGGGCAAGCAATAGCTGAGCTTACTAGCCATATGGTTAAACTAGCGCATGTGCCTACTCAGGTATGGAAAGGGTACAATCCAAGTAGTTGGTTTGGTAGCTGGTATGAGTGGTTTGGAGGGCTTAAGGCAGTGGTAGGTGGAGTCCTACTGATTTTAATGTTGTGTCTACTCCTGCCGTGTCTTATACCCTTAGTAGTTAGGTCTGTGCAAAGCCTGATAGAAAATATAGCAGAGAGGAAGGCTGCTGCACAGATAATGGCAATTTATAAATATAAGGCTCTAGATCAGGGAGAACCAATGCAGGAAGACGAGTGTTGAAGATTCACATCGTAGGATAAATCTGGTCTGGTTCAAAGGTAACTTGTGGTGTATGCAAACCAAGGTTAAGTGATGCCTCAAGTAATTGTAAAATATCAAGAGGCATCAAAGGGGGGAATGAGGTGGAATCTCGGTAAAAATAAATTTAGTAGGCCGAGATTACCACGTGGCATGTGTACGTGCATATGCTGACGTATCGATCAGTTGGTTGCACGAGGCAAGATACGATCAGTAGTGTACGGAGCATGTGCAAGAATACAGGATGTAGTATTCCCCTCCTCCATTGTGCTGGACAAGCCATGCGGTCAAGCAGGAAGTTAATTCTTATTTGTAATGATTGGTCAAGAGAATGTGCGGGTGGAGCTTAATATGGGAGGAGTTATGTGCCTATATAGGGAGCCTGCACTATTGTTCAGGGCTCAGAACTTGCTGTATTTTTGGTGACATTAGTCCCTCTGAGTCCCGATCGGTGATCCAATAAAGAATCTCTTCCTTCCTGAAGAAACCTGTGTCCATCCCTCTGTGCTTTGCTTCCGTCAGTTTCTCCGGTATCAAAACATCCCCATGAGTACTATCAGATTAATAGGCCTGGAGCCCCTGGTGGTAGAGGTGATAGATGTAGCGCACCATGAAGATGTCATCCACCCGTAGTGGGATGCAGCAATTGGACCTTACTTTTGTCAGCCTGCAGATGGTGAACAATCCCACCAGCAGTTCCAGGCTATTGATGTGAAGGTAATGTTCCTGTTCTGTCCACACTTTGCCTGTGGAGATCGTGCCCAAAGACTGGCATCCAACTCCAGGATGAAGTCCAGGCGACTGCTGAAGATGGACAAACCGTTCCATGCTTCCATGCATTCTAGCCACCATAAAAGTTACAAGTGTACTTCATTCAACACTGGAACAGACTGGTCTATGTGGGGTTAAATCAGACATTGCATGGCACAATAATGAAGTGGTCCTGGAAATATAGCTTGAATGGAGGAATACTGCAGTCCTACAATCCGTAGTGGTACAGAATCGCATTCGATATCATTCCTGATCTCCTTGCGTATCGTCGAGTCTTCCACTCATTGAGCACAGACAGTGTATGAGATAGGTCACGCTTCTCCTCTGAGGAGTGATCTAGCATATGCCAGGAAGCCGGTTGTTGAAGTGCAGTTTTGTGTTTGAGGGGCATCTTGCCCTTGCTTTATACTTGTGCCTTTCCAGTGGAGTTTCGCTGATCTGTCTCTCACTGTTAAAATACACCTACCAATAAAATGATAGACTGATCATCTCTTTGACAGTGGGCAAACATTAAAAATCAGCAGGGGATCAAATACTTTTTTCCCTCACTGTACATACTGCCATACATACACACACATACATATTGACATAAATACATACACATACATACACACACATACATACAGACATACATACTGACATACATACAGACACATACATACATACATACGGACATACAGACATACATACAGGCACATACATACTGACATAGATACATGCTTACATACAGACACACACATATATACATACATACACACACACACATATATATATATATATATATATATATACATACAGACACACAAACAGACACACACACATACATATGGACATACAGACATACATACATGCTTACATAAAGACACACACATATACACATACATACTGACATACATACACACACATGTATACAGACAGACACATACATACATACAGACATACATAATGACATACAGACAGACACATATACATACATACAGACAAACATACAGACAGACACATACATACTGACATACATACATACATACATACAGACATACATACAGACACACACACGTATATACATACAGACATACATACATACAGACACACACACACATAGATACTGACATACATACAGACACAAACATACATACTGACACACACATGCAGCTTATTTGTCAGCCACCCACCTGTTTCTTACCTTTTTGGTGCAGGAGGGTGGCTGGAGCTGATGGGATTCAGTCTGGCTCTCCCTCTTCACAGCCACTATACATGGGGAATGTGTTCCGCCACTACACATGGGGAAAGCGGGGCCCGGGGCCCTGATGGCGGGCCTGTATGTACATATAGTTACTGCATGACCTATACTATTATCTCTTTTTTTGTTTGTTTCTTTGTCTATTCTTATATGTTTTTTAAAAAGTATACATGCTTTTTAGCATTAAACCTTTTTCACAGTTTTTGATTGTACGCTTTGTGTTGGGTGTGTTGTCTGAAGTAGTTCGATAAAGGTGGTTTTGAGCAGCTAGTTTACCTTCACAGAGGAATTTATAATTATTAAGGTGGATTGAAAATATTAGTTAAGGCCCAGAGGAGGCGGGCTGAAAGCTAGCCGGATAGCAGGGCCGGACTGGCCCACCGGGATACCGGGAAATTTCCCGGTGGGCCGCGGCACCTGGGGGCCGGCCGCGTTCCTGGCTGGAGCCGCCGGGCCGGGTGGCAGCTTCCCCGGTCCGGCGACCATGCTCCTCTTACTGCCAGGGGCGGGCCGGCCCTTTAAATACTGCAGCCGCCCGAGCACTCTGTTAAGAGCCTCAGGCGGCTGCAGCTTCTCCCCTGTAGCGTGGCCGAGCTGCACTAAAAAGTATACATGCTTTTTAGCATTAAACCTTTTTCACAGTTTTTGATTGTACGCTTTGTGTTGGGTGTGTTGTCTGAAGTAGTTCGATAAAGGTGGTTTTGAGCAGCTAGTTTACCTTCACAGAGGAATTTATAATTATTAAGGTGGATTGAAAATATTAGTTAAGGCCCAGAGGAGGCGGGCTGAAAGCTAGCCGGATAGCAGGGCCGGACTGGCCCACCGGGATACCGGGAAATTTCCCGGTGGGCCGCGGCACCTGGGGGCCGGCCGCGTTCCTGGCTGGAGCCGCCGGGCCGGGTGGCAGCTTCCCCGGTCCGGCGACCATGCTCCTCTTACTGCCAGGGGCGGGCCGGCCCTTTAAATACTGCAGCCGCCCGAGCACTCTGTTAAGAGCCTCAGGCGGCTGCAGCTTCTCCCCTGTAGCGTGGCCGAGCTGCACTCCGGTCCGCGGTGGCCGGTCGGCCGGAGTGATAGGAAGGTGCACGCTCAGTGTGCACCTTCCTGTCAGTCCGACCGGGTACAGGAAACAGAAACTCCTGTTCCACTCAGTGTGCACCTTCCTATCACTCCGGCCGGCCGGCCGGCCACCGCGGACCGGAGTGCAGCTCGGCCACGCTACAGGGGA